GGCTGATCTTGAACAAAACTTTGTACTCCTGATTCCTCTGTGCAGATGCTTCTCGTGAAGGTGATTGGGTGCACGTGGAGGAGTAGGCAGTGGGTCTGCCCAGGAAGTTTTTCTATGCTTATTCCTGCAACCTGAACTTCAGCAATATGAAAGAAGCCTCGCCTACAAAGGCTGTGTGGTAGCATGGCTCACAGGAGAATAAAAGGAGATGGGGGAAGGAGGAGATGACCCTCTTCACCTGTTGTCTTTAGTAGAGAGCAATGTCTTTGGTATCTTGCCAGGCAGTTTATCTTTCATCTGGCTGATGGTTTTCCTCAACATAGCAGGGTTTGCAGTACAGCTCTTCTGATCTGTTGCTGTGATAGAACCCTGATCTGGCTGTGACTGGCTGGAAGAGCAGGACCAGGAAGGAGAGAGAGAAACTTGGAGTGGAGGCTGCTGCAACTAGAGCTGAGGAGTGTGACAGAATGTATGGGTGAAGAGTATGAAGAACACTGGTGTTGCGGTCCCTCCAGTTTCCACTCCTGAATGAAGTCCTAATTGTAGTATCCTTGGCTTTTTAAGGCCTTTCCTTCAGTGACCACAATAATCGTAGGGGTAAAGGGAGTGCTGAATGTGTATGCAATTGAGGTGGGGGAGGTGTGCTGGGCATTTTACGAATTGGAGATTAATAAAAACATGGTTTAGCCAATCCTGTTTTCCTGGATATGTATTGATTGTTTAAAAGTTAGACCTGTGACTTCTTTCCCTCCTTTGACCAGAGGGGAAAAAGTGGATAGAAATTGTTGGACTGCAATCAATATTGAAACCTTTGCAGTTGAGAAATACCTCATGGATGAAAGTCCAGCACCTAACCTGGTTTTAGGAACTTGGAAAATTCACATGCACATGTTGTTGTTGAAACAGCTAAGGAGTGTGCTTCTCCACAGTGAGCAGCCCTGGGTCTCACTCACTTCTTACTGGACTCTTTTGTCAGATCTGAAAAATGCTGATGGTTCTCCAGTTTCTTGCCTGTGTAATATGTTAGAGGTATTACATTTCCCCCTCTATTATTCTGCCAAGGAAATGCTAACAAATCCTTTTCTTTTGCAGGACTTTTTTGGCTGGCCAAGGTACCCAAACTACTGCACTGGTATATGTATTATGATGTTGTGGATTTAGTACCAATGTCACACGCGAGGAACAGCGGCAGAAAGAAATCGAGTTACCTGCTTAGAACGATAGAATATCCTGAGTTGGAATGGACCCACAACTATCATCAAAGTCCAGCTCATGGCCCTGCACAGGGCAGCCCCAGTCAGATAAGGGACGCTGCCACAACTGGATGATAAGCCTTGGTGTACTGAACTGTGCTTACGTGCCCTTGTTACAAAGGCAACACTTTTTCTGTGTTCAAAATTAATAGGTCTGAGTAAGCAGTTGGACCTTGAAACTGTGCTGGCCCCAGAATAACTGCTCTAAACCTTGTCTCTGGTCTGTTTGGTAGATCCTCTGAGTGTCCTGGCACCACAAGGTGCTCAGAGCAAGAAAGCCTTTACAAATTTCTGAGTTGTTCTTTACAGAGTCCATGCTACCCACCTGGCATGTATATCCTAGGTAGTCCTAAACTTGACTTTGATGCTTTCTATGCAGAAAGCTTCCAGCAGAGCTTTCTGTGTATTGGGCTTCTGTGGCTAGGTTTTGGTAGTGGTGGGTGCTATAGGGGTAGCTGGGTGGGGAGGAGGTAGAATTTGGAAGGAAGGAGGGGTAGAGGGAAGGTGTTTCTGAGATTATTTTACTTCTCACTCTTTTGCTCTGATCTTGTTAGTAATAAATTTAATATCCCCACTTTGAGTCTGTTTTGCCCATGATGGAGATCACTAAGTGACCTCTCCCGGTCCTTATCTCAGCTCGTGAATCCTTCATTGTACTTTTCTCTCTATCCGGTTGCAGAGGTGGAGGAGAGAGTGGCTTTAGTGGGTACCTGGCATTCAGCCAGGGTCAACCCACTACAGCTGGCTAAGCTATCGCTGCTCAGCTGTTTCACCTGGTCAAACCATGTTCTTGGTAATGATCTACTGTTGCTGCCGTCACATTTGGGATTGAGTTGAGTAGTGTTGATCACAAGCAGTTAAGATGAATGTAAAATTAAATGCTCTTGGAAAGGTAAATAGATATTGCTGTGTGTCAAACAGCAAGCTTACCAGGGCTAAACACTTACAAAACTTTCTTGGGGAAAGGTTTGTTCTTTCCTATCCCTGTGTATGAAGGTTCAGCTGCCCCTTTCAGGAGAAGGGGCACTCCCGTGTCCGCTGTGCTCTGCCACAGCATCAGGAATGGGACTGGGATGTAACCGGCTGGGGCTGCTGGAGTAGCGGCTTGTGGGCGTGCAGCACTGCCCCTCCCCATGGAGGAAGGGACGGGAGCGTGTGTCGCTGGGTTCATCATCTACAGGAAAAAAAAAAGAAAACAAGTGGAACTGTATTTATTCGCTGGTGCTGAATAAGCTGCTTGTTGTAAGCAGCCTATTTAACTGTTGCAGCTCTAAGCATTTTCTGTCAGCCGTGTGATCACTTTGGTATTTAGGCTTGATAGGGGCAACACTGGTGTCTTGCTGGAAGGCTGTGTACTCTCTTCTGGAGAAAGCTTTTAAATGTAGCTGACCAATGTAATGTATTCTGAAGCTTTGAAAAAAAGCTATTTCGCAGAAATCTTTATTTAAAACAAACCCAAAACATCACAATAAATGAGCTTTCTTCCAGAAGAGATGTCTTAGTAGAATTAAAA